GTAAAATCTCTCTTTAGGTGGTAGGGGCTCTTCAAATCGCTCCCAGGAATCCATGTACTCGTATGGGTACACTCCTTTCCTTTCCGCTCCGTATTGACTGGAAATGGGGAACTCCGAGTTGTATTTCACGAGGTTCGCTAAGGAGTCCGCCATGAATTGCTGTGAATCTAAGAACTTTAGCTTGCCTACAGTTACAGACATGTAGCGCTCCTTGTTGTTTGGTATGCATTTAACGTCTGAGCCGTCCGTGCCCTGAAGGAGGAGGTGAGAATCGTAGCCGCGAAGGTTGTGGAAGAACACGGGAATCTCCATGTCTGGATCTACTCTCGTCCTGCATCTCCAGTGCGCAGCTCCTACGTAGGCACCCGTTAGTGGGCAGTAGTCCAACACTTTATCCATGTAAAAGTCTTCTACGAATCTTTTGTGGCAGTGAATGCAGTGCGTGGATGGTTTCCCTGCTTTCTCTCCTTTCTTTGCGTAAGTACCGCACTTAAAGTGTGCTTCCCCGAGATACTTACCATCCTCATCCCATGCCCTTTTAGCCTGTCGACCGTATTGTAGAAGATCGCGGTCGCATACGTGACAAATCTTAGCTTTTGCATATGCTGCTTGGCATTCCTTGGTGAATGCTACCTTCTTCTTGCGGCGCAATTTGTCTCTGATCACTTCTTCTTCGTCCTTCGAGGAACTTGTTTGCTGCGTTCTTGCCTCGGTAKATAACTGGCGGGTCTGCTTTACCATCGTGTCTGACAACTATGTAACCGTAGGAGCAAATCTCATGCAATCCCAGTCTTTTCGTGGCACCATTCTTTTGGTCTTCTTTCGTAATTATCGCTTCGAAGTCTGCGTAAATCACGTAAGGCACTTTGGTTTGCCTTCGGTGGTCCTCGTATGACAATTCCTTTTGCGTGAGCATTTGGATTCGCTGTGCGACTTCTTCTCCGCGGCATATTTCATCGTGGCTCTTTAATGCTTTTAAGGAAGTAAATGACAACAAGCAGCAGTCGCAGAAGTACTTCTTACCTTTGTGTTTGGTGTGTCTGTAGAATAATCTACTAAGATGCTTAATCCATGAATAGTGCCCGCCGTGGTAGAAGAGGTGTATGCGCTCTCCATGCGCCTTTGACAACACTAGTGGCACTATTGTTTGATCTCGGACCCCGTAAACGTT